AAAAAAAAAAAAAAAAAGAAAAATTGTGAGTAACCACCTTATAATTAAGTTTATTTTTTCCAAGTAAAAGTGGAGTTTCGATTTTCGAATAGTCTTACGCATGGAGAAAGAAACCAGAATCGATAACGCATTTAACACGAACGCTACTCGGAAAGAGAGCTCGGAAGCCATCGCAGTGCAAGAGGGTTGCTAATCCACCGGCCGACCCACCGGTAAGTATAACCTAATAATAATTCATATCACCATATATAACACAATTCATTCAAATTAAAACTCCAATATGTCTATATATATAAAAATAAAAAAAAAAATAGTAACAAATTAATTAATCTTACATTTGTTGCGTTAGCCATTCCTTTGTGAAAGAATTCATTCATCACGGCGTCAAAAATCCGTGCACCCCTACTTTCAACTACCTGAGCACATTAATTAATAATTAGTATTAATTATTAATAAATATCTAATTAAGTTAAATAAGCAAAATATATGTATTATTAATTGTGTGGGTATATAATATATATTAATTTATATATGTAAAGGCTTACACTATGATCCGCGTTTCCCATGAAAGATGAACCATCACAGTAGACCACTTGTACTCTATTCCAATTATAGAAATCTGAGAATGATCCCATCAAGTTGATGCCAATAACAAAACTATCAATAAAAGATTCTTTAAATAATCCATACTATGGCAAAATTAATTTTAAGAAAAAATTGTATTTTTAGTCCTGTTGGTTTAATGTTGTAGCATTTTTAATCCCAAAATTCTAATTTTTTGTCTTTTGATCCAGTAATTTTGTATTTTGCTGCAATTTCAGTCCTTCGGAATTGAAATTACAACAAGATTAAAAATTACAGGACTTAAATTGCTAATAAAAAATTCATCCAAAAGATTTTTTATTAGCAATTTAAGTCTTGTAAATTCAAATTTTGTTGCATTTCTCAGTCCCAAATGACTGAAATTGCGTTGAATTTTAAAATAATATAAGACCAAATAGCAAAAAAATGTTTAATTCTCAAAAAAAAAAAGTCACTGGATCAAATCGACAGGACTAAATTGTAATTTCGCATTTTATATATATATTATAGAAGGCCACAAACTGTTATGTAAATCATGGGGACGGCTAACAGTCGTGCCCCGTTAAAGTATGATACCGTGTTCTTTTAATATTCATGCTACATGTACTCCTTGGTGTACCACTTGGTTTACATCCAACGGGTACATGTACCTATTTACCCTTAATGAATAATTTAGTATATTATTCATTAAGGGTAAATGGGTACATGTACCTCTTGGATGTACACCAAGTGGTAAACCAAAGGGTACAAGTAGCATTATTCAATTAATTATATATAGGGACTGGTATAGTCCTGTTATGATATGATACAGTTTATTAATTAAATAAATTATTAAAGTGAAAAGGAAAGGAATAGTGCCGTTAAAAATAGCAACGCACCTTAGCATTTTCCGTAAATAATTAATTAAGTTAAATAAATATTAATTAACCTGGATTAGTTGTGTGGTCTCTGCTATGTAGTTGGCCAAAAGTGATCATCTTGAGACTCTGGTTGCTGCTTCCTCCATTGCTCACCTTTGCTTGACAACCCCCATCACTACCACACCAACCCCCACCCTGAAATTAAATTTAAATTTTTATTTATTTTTTAAATAATCAACAAACATAAAAATAAATAATATAATTAATAATAATAATATAATTAATAATAATAATCTCACATTCAAATAAATAATCCAACTATTAACTCCATCACCAAATCCAGGATCATAGTAATAACCTCCTGCACTTCCGTCTAGACAAACTGCATGCACGTACACGTAAAAATAAAAGCATTAATTTGTGGGGAGATGCTACGGTCTCGTTACGGAACTATTCCGTCGGAATTTGTAACCGTTAGATCAACTATCTCCGACGATTACATAATAATCTAAAGGTTACAAACTCGACGGAATGATTCCGTAACGAAGATATGATGTGTGGCCAAATTATTACATTAAGTTATTAATAGTGCACAATGAAAGAATAGTTATAATAATAATAATTAATGTTACTAAATTATTAGCTATAATTTGTTTTTAGAAAGTATAACCAATAATTAAATAACCTGCTCCCGTTGCGGTTGCATTAGCAATGAGTGTGAGGCTGACGTTTGCATTGACATCGCCAGCTTGGACTCCAACTGTGTTTATAATATCAATACTAATTCACGTAATTAAATCATGTTTTACTCATAATTAATTAACTAACTATATGTAGTATTATATTATGGAGTATTAATTAATTAATTAATAAGAAAACAATGTAATTAACCTGTTCCAGTTACGTTTAATTTGAGGCTAACTCCACCGTCATGTCCTTGGGCTTGATTAGTATTCACCACAACAATAAAGGAGAAGATCACTAGCTTTAACAAGTGATAGCCCATGGTTCGAATGTTCTTTTCCATTCTGATAAACATTAATTAATAGATATTAGTGAATTAATTCAGTGACGAGAATATTTTGCATTGATGAGAGAGATCAAATTAATTAAGGCATATTGTAACAAAAACAATGCAGTTTTTTTTTTTTTTTTTTGGGTCACAAAGTTGCATATCAATACACCACTTTTCATTTGTTGCAATTTAACCACCACCTTTAAAATTTTGCAAATTAATACACCACCGTTACCATTTTTGCAAATTGATACATGAATGACAGTTCGTTAACAAAAATTTGACATAGCATTGACGTGGCTTGATGCCACGTCAAATTAGATTTTTGCTAACGGAACTATCATTCATGTATAGATTTACAAATATAGTAAATGTGGTGTATTAATTTGTAAAATTTTAAAAGAGGTGATTAAATTGCAAAAATATGAAAACTACCTCCATACAACTAAAATATGTTCATACAAGTGCCATGAGATTTTGGGGAAAAAAATAATAATAATTACCTTAAGAACCAGGCTTGATCACTTTCAAAAGGGTTTATAGATTTTATAGTTAATGCTTGTGTTTTTTGTGCTAATTTAGTTGCTTTTATAGTGCATCTATCTAATTCATATAATGAAAAGGTTGTTAAACTGTCCCCTGACATTAGCTCTTTTCTGTGATGCAACCTTATTTTCGCTTGGATCAATACATAAATTGGCAAATCAATAAAGGTTGTGGATATAATATCTCCATTTGACAACCACAAGTTCCATAGTAAAAGCTTTTAGCCTATGAAATGGGTTACAACTGTAGGCCAATTCTTTTTAGCTCCAAAAATAGCAAGATTAGGTAATTTAATTAAATCGCCAAAATTTATACTATTATAAAGGACGAATATTTTTGTAAAAATATGAACTGTCTAAAAAACTCTTACTTTGTTATATCTTTAACAGCAAATTAGTAATTCAATAATATTCATCTTATCTTATACTTTTAATTAACAAGTGAACTACCTAAAAGACCCTTACCTTGATTTATTTTAAATGGCAAATTAATCATACACTAATACCCATCATATTTTATAATTCTAATATATATATATTTTCTTTTAGAAAATTAATCCAACAAAAATAGCATAATAAATTGTAATGCCCCGTTTGTGTATGAATAATTGGGATTATTTATTTTTGCATAATTGTTATTATTATTATTATTATTGTTGTTGTTGTTGTTGTTGTTGTTGTTGTTGTTGTCATTAAATGTCTAATTGTTTTAAATGCTTATTATTATTATTAAATAGTATTATTGGGTGTATTATATATATAATGTACGGATTTATTTTAATTATTGTTATCGCGTTGCATTCCTTTCAGCCCGATTAAATTGATTCCCGACCCAATTTGAGTGATATTATCCAGCCCAAAGGTTTAAATTTTTGGCCTTTTGGATCATAAGACTTTCCAGCCCATTCTCTTTTGATTAATATCTAGCCCAAGTGTTTTAAATGTCTTGGCCCATTAGAATATCATCATCGGCCCTTTTCTTTTTGGCAAAAATACACATCGACGTGTTAGTCTCACAACAATGCCAATTAAACGAGTATTAAAGTTTAATCGCAGATTTGTAGCCACATAAAAATCAATAACCAAAATTACGAAGCTACAACCACTACAAGAAAATAGAGTTCTAGTGAAGAATTTTTTTGTCACTATGTTGTCACTATATCTACTATCACTATATCTACAGTTGTTGTCACTATATCTACAACAATTGTAGATATAGTGTCAATAATTGTAGATATAGTGACAACAATTGGAGATATACTGACAGTAGATATAGTGACAACAATTGTAGATATAGTGACAAAAAAATTCTTCACTAAAACTCTATTTTCTTATAGTGAACAAAAGGAAGGGAAAATCTGTGTGCAATCTTAATTGATTTTTCGTTCAAAATCGTGTCGCGTTCAAAATGTGGAAATCGTGTCGAGAGGGAATTTTCTGAATCTCAAGCTCGCAAACATTTTCATTCAAATCTGAAGTCGACACCGATCTGAGAGATTGAAGGTATATTTCCACCGGGCGGCGTCTAAAAGACAACTGTTAAAGCTTTGCTTTTGTATGTGGACAAAAGATCTTATGTTTCTGTAACTAATTGTGAATTGATAATATGAACAATTTTTATTCTTCTTTCACTGCTCTTATGTTGGTTAGTTTTGGGATAGTAAATTTGTGGAAATTGGGTTGATTGCCACGATTTCAATGGGTTGCAGAACGAATGTGTTCTTGAGAGTTTGAGAAAAATTAAGGTTGTAAATCAATTAAAATTTTAATGTAAATTATTTAGTTTATTTTAGGTTTATAAATAATTAAAAAATATATATTTTCTATTTTAATCTATCTTTTTTTTTTTTTATGAACTCTTTTAGTTTATTTTTAGTTTATCTAGTTTATTACATTATCTCTATAAT